TGGAATATAATTTTCATAGGATTACCTTATTAGTCTTTTAATGCCTGCAGAATCAGTAATGATGCCTTGTTTCTTATTCATGGTGTTGGTAATTTGTGTCTTCTTTTTTCTTCATTATTAGTATAACTATGTTTGTCAATTTTTTTTCCTCTTTTCAAAGAAGCGGTTTTTGATTTTCTTGATTTTCTCTAGTGTTTTTTATGTTTCATATTTTATTGACTTTTGCTCGAATCTTTACTATATCTTTTCTTCTCCTACTTCAGTTTGTTTCCTTTTTTTCTAATTTGTAAAGTGGAAGCTTAGATCATTGATTGGATATCTTCCTTTTTTCTCCCTTACATAAGTATTTAATGCTATCCCCCAGGCACTGCATTTTACATATCTTGTTGTGCTGTATTTCCATTTTCATACAGTTAAAGTATTTTAAAATTAACTTTGTGATTTCTTCTGTGGCCTACAAGTTATTTGGCTGTGTGTCACTTAACTTAAAATATTTGAAGATTTCCCAGATATCATTTAAGGAAAATGATTTCTAATTTAAATCAGTGTGATAAGAGAACATACCATGTATGTGTTCAGTGTTTTAAATTTTATTGAGTCTTGTTTTAAGACCCCAAATCGTCTATCTCTTTAAATAGTTCACATGCACTTGAAAAGAATATGCATTTTACTATTGCTTGACAGAATTCTATAAATATGTATTTGGTCAAGTTGGTTGATAGTGTTGTTCAAGTCTTAAATAGACATACTGATATTCTCTCTAGTTTCTTTATTGATTATTAAGAGTGGGATATTGAAATATCTAATTATAATTATGGATTTGTTTAATTCTGCCTTTAGTTTTCTCATGTTAATCTACATGTATTTTGAATCTCTGATAATAAGTACAAACACATTCAGGAGATTTTATGCCTCTTAAAAAATTTACCCCATCATCATTATGAATTTACTTTCTCTGGAAATGTTCATTTTTCTGAAATCTATTTTGTCTAATACTTGTATAGCCACTTCTGTTTCCTTTTGACTATTGTTTTCACAGCGTATATCTTTTGGTATCAATTTACTTTTAACATATTGTATATTTATATGTCAAGTGTGTTTCTTTAATACAAGATAGAGATTAGCATTGTTTATGTTTTATGTAATTTAACAATATATATACCTTTAACTTGAAATATTTGGAAATTTATTTCTAAGTATTTCATATTTTTGAGACTATTTTAAATTCTACTATTTTCTCTCTTTTTCTATCTTTTTTGGTTATTTATTTTACAAATTTATTCAGGCATAATTGAAGTACAATAAAACTGTACATATTTAAATATATAATTTGATCATTTTTGACTTACATATGCACCCATGAAACTATTACTACAGTCACATAATGAATGTTTCCATCACCAAACTATTGTATTGCAGGAGTATAAACTGTTATGTGAATATTGATGTAGTCAGGTTTAAATCTACCATCTTGCTATTTAGGCTTTATTTGTCCTATCTCTTCTTTGTTCTTTTTTCTTTTCTTCTTTTTCTCTGTTACTTTTTCTTGTCAGATTAGTTTTTTTTTAATAATTCTATTTTATCTCCATTGTTAACATATTAGCTATACTTCTTTATTTTCTATTCTGTTGATGTAGACTTTACATTACATAGTTTTATTATCACAGTCTGTCTTCAAATAATATATTATCAGATAAGAAACTTACTAACCTTGTTTTTCCATTTTGACCTTCCTCAGCTTGTGCTATTTTTGTAGTCAATTTTACTTACAAATCTACAAGCCACATAACGTATGGTTATTGCTTTTGCTCTAAGGAGGTAAGAAATGAAAAAAAAATGCCTTTTATACTTTATCACAACTTAGCCTTTCTTGTGATCTTCATTTCTTTGAGTAGATCTACATTTCTATCTACGTTTACTTTACTTCTCCCTGAAGAACTTTCTTTAGTGTGTTCCATAGCTCTAGTCCGCTGGGGATGAATTCTCTCGATTTTTGTAAACCAAAATAAATTTACTTTGACTCTCATTTTCAAAAAGATATTTTTTCTGGGTATAGAATTCTAGGTTGGCAGTTCTTTTCCTTTTGTGCTTTAAAGATGTTGTTACATTGTCTTCTCGCTTGTGTGGTTTCTTGAAAAGTCTACTTCATTATTTTTTGTTATTGTTCATAATGTGCCATTTTTAGTCTTGCTGCTTTCAGGGCTTCTCCCTCAACTCCCTAGTTTATGTTAATTTTATTGTGATATGCCTTTGCATAGTTTTCTTCTTGTGTCTTCTGCATGAGTTGTGGTGAACTTGTTGGATTTAAGGATTTCTGTATTTTATCAAATTTGGAATATAAGGTGATTATTATTTCAAATATTTTTCTACCCCCTACCTTTCTGGGTCTTCAGTTATCCTTATGTTAGGCTTATTGTTATCTTCCCACAACCCACTGATGGCCTTTTTGTTTTTATTTTACTCTTTTTTTCCTATGTATTTCATTTTGTATAGTTATATTACTGTATTTATAAACTCACTTATTTCCCCTTCTGTAAAGTTTATTCTGTTTTTAATCCTATTTGGCATGATTTTTATTTCATATATTTTATTTTTCAGCCTTAGAAGTTCAGTTTTTGTTTTTTATTTTCCACTTCCCAAAATTTCAGGTTTCCCATACCTTCTTTATTAGATCTAGATATCTAGATATCTAAATATCTAAATCTAGATATCTAGAGTATCCAAATCTAGATATGGATTATCTAGATTTTAACTTAATATATACTATCAACATATTTAAGTGTGGTTCTTTTATTTTATTTTTTATTTTTTTTAACATTTATTTATTTTTGAGAGACAGAGAGATACAGAGTGCAAGCAGGGGAGGTGCAGAGAGAAAGGGAGACACAGAATTCGAAGCAGGCCCCAGGCTCTGAGCTGTAAGCACAGAGCCTGACACAGGGCTCAAACCCACAAACCACAAGATCATGACCTGAGTCAAAGTCGGATGCTCAATCGACTGAGCCACCCAGGTGCCCCTATTTGAGTATGGTTCTAATCATTGATTTTTCTCTTGGATTTGCATCATACTTTCCCACTTCTTTGCACATTTGGCCATTTTTGGTTGAATGCTAACACATGTGAATTTTAGGTTGTTTTCTGGATTTTTGAAGGGAGTAATATTTTCTTTTTCTTTTATTTTTTATTTAAAAATTTTCTCTTTTAATGTTTATTGTATTTTATTGTATTTTATTTTATTTTGAAGGAAAGAGAGATGGAGCATGAGTAGGGAGACAGGGAGATGCAAAATCTGAAGCAGGATCCATACTTTGAGCTGTCAGCACAGAGTTCAACACCAGGCTTGAACTCACAAGCCATGAGATCATGACCTGAGCTGAAGTTGGCAGCTTAACTGACTGAGTCACCCAGGAGCCCTATGGGACTAATATTTCAAATATTTGAGAGCTTTGTTCTTGGATAAAGTTAAGTTACATGGGTCCAATATTATCCTTTGAGGCTTCCTTTCAAGGTTTGTTAGTGAGGGTTCAGATACCCTTTATTCTAGACTAATTTGCTAACAGAACAGTACAGTACTTCCGAGGACTCTACTACATACTCTGTATTAGAAGGGCTTTTTACTCTGGCTAGTGAGAATAGATCCTATTTCTAGACCAATTTAGCCTTTGAGAATTGAGCTGCCTCTTTCTAGTGGTTCCTCACTACTACTGGCCTCACTACTCATGTGCAGATCGGTACCTAGCCAGACACTCAAGGGAAACTCTTCTATAGCACCTCTCCTGCATTCTTCCTTTTACTAGCAGACTTCTCTCCTCCTTGTTACTTTGCTTTCAAGGTTTCAGCCACTTTTACCCCCCAAAATCTGTGTTCTGTCTCTGAAACTCAGCAAAATTGCAGTCTCTCTTTTGATTCTCCTCCTTATGTTGTGGCTTGGAAAATCTTCTCATGTAGTGAGCTTGGGCCTTTGTAGGGATCAAATCATTTGTTTCTGCTTTCCCAGGGATCACTGTCCAGTGCTTCCTGTTGTCCAGTATTCATTTTATTATTCCATATCTTGATCTTTGGTCTGTTTGTTTTTTGTTTTTTTAGAGGGAGAGAGAGAGAAGATCCTAAGCAGGCTCCATGCTCAGTGCAGAACACAACATGGGCCCAATCCCATGACCCTGGGATCATGACCTGAGCCCAAAAATGAAGAGTTGGATGCTCAACTGGATGAGCCACACAGGTGCCCCTCTTTTGTCTGTTTTCAAAATTTTTTAAGGATGTAAGGCAAATCTGGTACTTTTTACTTCATCATGGCTGGACCTATGTTCTAAATGCAGAAAAAAAAAGAAAAAAAGAAATTTATAGTAAAAATAGAAGGTCCTATCACACAACTCAGGGCGAGAATACAACCAAGATTTGAGTATAAGGAATTGATCATATTCAGCAACCCAGGTGATGCTTTCTTTTTCTTTTTTTTTTTTTTAATTTTTTTTTTCAACGTTAATTCATTTTTGGGAGAGAGAGAGACAGAGCATGAACAGGGGAGGGGCAGAGAGAGAGGGAGACACAGAACCGGAAACAGGCTCCAGGCTCCGAGCCATCAGCCCAAAGCCCGACGCGGGGCTCGAACTCACGGACCCCGAGATCGTGACCTGGCTGAAGTCGGACGCTTAACCGACTGCGCCACCCAGGCGCCCCGATGCTTTCTTTTTCTATCTCTTATCTCTGCATCTCTCTATCAGTCTCTGCTGACTGGTTGTTTTCTGTTTCTCCAGGCTGTATGGTTAAATGTGTCCACATCAAAATAAGTCAGGCAGAGAAAGGCAGATACCATATGTTTTCACTCATATGTGGATCTTGAGAAACTTAACAGAGGACCATGGGAGGACCAAGGGGGATAGGTTACAGAGAGGGAGGCAAACCATAAGACACTCTTAAATACTGAGAACAAACTGAGGTTTGATGGGGGGTGGGAGAGAAGGGAAAGTGGGTGATGGGCATTGAGGAGGGCAGCTGTTGGGATGAGCACTGGGTGTTGCATGGAAAACAATTTGACAATAAATTATATTTAATATAAAAAATGTGTCCACTTCACAGGTGTCAGATTTACATATTATTGTTCTATTAACTTGCAGAAACTTCTTGAGGTATTTTCCTTTACAACATTAATTTGTTTGCAAAAACAGTTTGAGGTTCCTAGAAAACATGTAATTAAATATTATTTTAACAACATTATTTTACCTAAGAATGCTGATTTGAATTTACTATTTAATATGGCATTATAGTTAATATCAAAGTATTCTGCACATTATTTGTTTACCCTTGCACAATCTAGTTTCATTCAATTTTAAAAACAGTTGTTATGGTTTTGTTGATTTACTCATAATGATGTCTCCATTTGTTCTTGAGTGATTACAACTGATTTGGAATCCATATGTGTCTACAAATAATTTAAAATTTTCTGCCATTGCGTATTTATGTTCATGTGTACTCAATTGTATATTTTATTCTATTGTCTGATTAACATTAAGGCTTTCCTGGAAGCTGTGATATCTTCTCAACTTTGCCTCAACTAAATTGCTTGGTGCTATCAATAATTATTTTTTATTTGAAATGTTTCTTAAAAACAAAGCATATTAATTGTCTTTGTGGCAATTTTTCTATCATCAGACACCTTACTACTGATGTTTTCCCATCACAAAACACAGATATCACACCTTTATCTTTAACAAATTAAGAGCTGATTTGGAATGAAATTGAAAGTTTATAACTATACATCTCCTGGCAACTTATGGTACCATGTAGAAGAATATAGAAGAAATACTACTGAATATCATTGTATAACTACGACATTAAGGTTTTTTTTTTTATATATATCTGAAATTTATTGTCAAATTGGTTTCCATACAAAACCCAGTGCTCATCCCAAAAGGTGCCCTCCTCAATACCCATCACCCACCCTCTCCTCCCTCCCACCCCCCATCGACCCTCAGTTTGCTCTCAGTTCTCAACAGTCTCTTATGCTTTGGCTCTCTCCCACTCTAACCTCTTTTTTTTTTTTTTCCTTCCCCTCCCCCATGGGTTCCTGTTAAGTTTCTCAGGATCCACATAAGAGTGAAACCATATGGTATCTGTCTTTCTCTGTATGGCTTATTTCACTTAGCATCACACTCTCCAGTTCCATCCACGTTGCTACAAAAGGCCATATTTCATTTTTTCTCATTGCCACGTAGTATTCCATAGTGTATATAAACCACAATTTCTTTATCCATTCATCAGTTGATGGACATTTAGGCTCTTTCCATAATTTGGCTATTGTTGAGAGTGCTGCTATGAACATTGGGGTACAAGTGCCCCTATGCATCAGTACTCCTGTGTCCCTTGGATAAATTCCTAGCAGTGCTATTGCTGGGTCATAGGGTAGGTCTATTTTTAATTTTCTGAGGAACCTCCACACTGCTTTCCAGAGTGGCTGCACCAATTTGCATTCCCACCAACAGTGCAAGAGGGTTCCCGTTTCTCCACATCCTCTCCAGCATCTATAGTCTCCTGATTTGTTCATTTTGGCCACTCTGACTGGCATGAGGTGATACCTGAGTGTGGTTTTGATTTGTATTTCCCTGATAAGGAGCGACGCTGAACATCTTTTCATGTGCCTGTTGGCCATCCGGATGTCTTCTTTAGAGAAGTGTCTATTCATGTTTTCTGCCCCTTTCTTCACTGGGTTATTTGCTTTTTGGGTGTGGAGTTTGGTGAGCTCTTGATAGATTTTGGATACTAGCCCTTTGTCTGATATGTCATTTGCAAATATCTTTTCCCATTCCGTTGGTTGCCTTTTAGTTTTGTTGGTTGTTTCCTTTGCTGTGCAGAAGCTTTTTATCTTCATAAGGTCCCAGTAATTCACTTTTGCTTTTAATTCCCTTGCCTTTGGGGATGTGTCGAGTAAGAGATTGCTACGGCTGAGGTCAGAGAGGTCTTTTCCTGCTTTCTCCTCTAAGGTTTTGATGGTTTCCTGTCTCACATTCAGGTCCTTTATCCATTTTGAGTTTATTTTTGTGAATGGTGTGAGAAAGTGGTCTAGTTTCAACCTTCTGCATGTTGCTGTCCAGTTCTCCCAGCACCATTTGTTAAAGAGACTGTCTTTTTTCCATTGGATGTTCTTTCCTGCTTTGTCAAAGATGAGTTGGCCATACGTTTGTGGGTCTAGTTCTGGGGTTTCTATTCTATTCCATTGGTCTATGTGTCTGTTTTTGTGCCAATACCATGCTGTCTTGATGATGACAGCTTTGTAGTAGAGACTAAAGTCTAGGATTGTGATGCCTCCTGCTTTGGTCTTCCTCTTCAAAATTACTTTGGCTATTCGGGGCCTTTTGTGGTTCCATATGAATTTTAGGATTGCTTGTTCTAGTTTCGAGAAGAATGCTGGTGCAATTTTGATTGGGATTGCATTGAATGTGTAGATAGCTTTGGGTAGTATTGACATTTTGACAATATTTATTCTTCCAATCCATGAGCAGGGAATGTCTTTCCATTTCTTTAAATCTTCTTCAATTACCTTCATAAGCTTTCGATAGTTTTCAGCATACAGATCCTTTACATCTTTGGTTAGATTGATTCCTAGGTATTTTATGCTTCTTGGTGCAATTGTGAATGGGATCAGTTTCTTTATTTGTCTTTCTGTTGCTTCATTGTTAGTGTATAAGAATGCAACTGATTTCTGTACATTGATTTTGTATCCTGCAACTTTGCTGAATTCATGTATCAGTTCTAGCAGACTTTTGGTGGAGTCTGTCGGATTTTCCATGTATAATATCATGTCATCTGCAAAAAGCGAAAGCTTGACTTCATCTTTGCCAATTTTGATGCCTTTGATTTCCTTTTGTTGTCTGATTGCTGATGCTAGAACTTCCAGCACTATGTTAAACAACAGCGTTGAGAGTGGACATCCCTGTCGTGTTCCTGATCTCAGGGAAAAAGCTCTCAGTTTTTCCCCGTTGAGGATGATGTTAGCTGTGGGCTTTTCATAAACGGCTTTTATGATCTTTAAGTATGTTCCTTCTATCCCGACTTTCTCAAGGGTTTTTATTAAGAAAGGGTGCTGGATTTTGTCAAAGGCCTTTTCTGCATCGATTGACAGGATCATATGGTTTTTCTCTTTTTTTTTGTTAATGTGATGTATCACGTTGATTGATTTGCGAATGTTGAACCAGCCCTGCATCCCAGGAATCAATCCCACTTGATCATGGTGAACAATTCTTTTTATATGCCGTTGAATTCGATTTGCTAGTATCTTATTGAGAATTTTGGCATCCGTATTCATCAGGGATATTGGCCTGTAGTTCTCTTTTTTTACTGGGTCTCTGTCTGGTTTAGGAATCAAAGTAATACTGGCTTCATAGAATGAGTCTGGAAGTTTTCCTTCCCTTTCTATTTCTTGGAATAGCTTGAGAAGGATAGGTATTATCTCTGCTTTAAACGTCTGGTAGAACTCCCCTGGGAAGCCATCTGGTCCTGGACTCTTATTTGTTGGGAGATTTTTGATAACCGATTCAATTTCTTCGCTGGTTATGGGTCTGTTCAAGCTTTCTATTTCCTCCTGATTGAGTTTTGGAAGAGTGTGGGTGTTCAGGAATTTGTCCATTTCTTCCAGGTTGTCCAATTTGTTGCCATATAATTTTTCATAGTATTCCCTGATAATTGTTTGTATCTCTGAGGGATTGGTTGTTATAATTCCATTTTCATTCATGATTTTATCTATTTGGGTCATCTCCCTTTCTTTTTGAGAAGCCTGGCTAGAGGTTTGTCAATTTTGTTTATTTTTTCAAAAAACCAACTCTTGGTTTCGTTGATCTGCTCTACAGTTTTTTTAGATTCTATATTGTTTATTTCTGCTCTGATCTTTATTATTTCTCTTCTTCTGCTGGGTTTAGGCTGCCTTTGCTGTTCTGCTTCTATTTCCTTTAGGTGTGCTGTTAGATTTTGTATTTGGGATTTTTCTTGTTTCTTGAGATAGGCCTGGATTGCAATGTATTTTCCTCTCAGGACTGCCTTCGCTGCGTCCCAAAGCGTTTGGATTGTTGTATTTTTATTTTCATTTGTTTCCATATATTTTTTAATTTCTTCTCGAATTGCCTGGTTGACCCACTCATTCGTTAGTTGGGTGTTCTTTAACCTCCATGCTTTTGGAGGTTTTCCAGACTTTTTTCTGTGGTTGATTTCAAGCTTCATAGCATTGTGGTCTGAAAGTATGCATGGTATGATTTCAATTCTTGTAAACTTATGAAGGGCTGTTTTGTGACCCAGTATATGATCTATCTTGGAGAATGTTCCATGGGCACTCGAGAAGAAAGTATATTCTGTTGCTTTGGGATGCAGAGTTCTAAATATATCTGTCAAGTCCATCTGATCCAATGTCTCATTCAGGTCCCTTGTTTCTTTATTGACCGTGTGTCTAGATGATCTATCCATTTCTGTAAGTGGGGTGTTAAAGACCCCTGCAATTACCACATTCTTATCAATAAGGTTGCTTGTGTTTATGAGTAATTGTTTTATATATTTGGGCGCTCCAGTATTCGGCGCATAGACATTTATAATTGTTAGCTCTTCCTGATGGATAGACCCTGTCACTATTATATAATGTCCTTCTTCATCTCTTGTTACAGCCTTTAATTTAAAGTCTAGTTTGTCTGATATAAGTATGGCTACTCCAGCTTTCTTTTGGTTTCCAGTAGCATGATAAATAGTTCTCCATCCCCTCACTCTCAATCTAAAGGTGTCCTCAGGTCTAAAATGAGTCTCTTGTAGACAGCAAATAGATGGGTCTTGTTTTTTTATCCATTCTGATACCCTATGTCTTTTGGTTGGCACATTTAATCCATTTACATTCAGTGTTATTACAGAAAGATATGGGTTTAGAGTCATTGTGATGTCTGTATGTTTTATGCTTGTAGTGATGTCTCTGGTACTTTGTCTCACAGGGTCCCCCGACATTAAGGGTTTTTGAATGAACGTGAGTCATAGGTCAGGTCAAGTATGCAGTTCAGTTCAAACATTGTCCAAAATATTGGTTGAACAAATAAGTGAATAAATATTGAATGTAATGTGAGCTATCCCCATTCATAAATTAACCATGGATCTCATTGAATTGAGAAGAAATAGATCATCGGAAAATACTGTATAATAAATATGTGATTATATTCACTATTACACAACCTGGTTGTCTTTCTTAATTAAAAGTTTGTCTTAATTAATTTAAAAGCTTGCTGCTGTTTGATTTTAAAAATAATTTGTAGATGTTTCTTGAAAACACATTCATTGTTGATTTTATACCTTCCTGGACTGTTTGGATTTATTTTTACCATGTGAATTTCTTTCCAAGAAATAAAATAAAAATGCTTGTTAAAAATTCAAAATGAAAAAAAAAATTTACAATAAAAAACTCATTACTCAGACTTGACACCAAAAGCACAATCCATAAAAATAAAAATTGATAAATTGGACCTTATCAAAATTTAAAACTTCTGCTATGCCAAAGACTGTGTTAAGAAGATGAAAAGACAGGAGCCCTTGTATGGCTCAGTTGGTTGGGCATCTGACTCAATCTCAGCTTAGGTGTTGATCTCATGGTTGTGAGTTCAAACCCCATGTTGGGCTCTGTGCTGATCACAAAGCCTACTTAAAAATAAAATACTTAGGAAAATGAAAAAACAAACTACAGAGTAGGAGGAAATATTTGTGGATCATGTATTGACAAGGAACTTGTGTCTAGAATCTATTAAGAACTTTCAAAGCCCAGTTATAATACAGCAAATAATCCCATTACAAAATGGGCAAAAGACAGCAAGAAATATTCCACTGAGGAGGATAAACATATGGGAAATAAGTACCTGAAAAGATATTCAACATTCTTGGCAATTTGAAAGGGCACATTCAAACCACAGTGCAGTCTCATGCACCCCTATCAGAATGGCTAAAATTAAAAAAAAAAAAAAAAGATAACACAAAATCCTGGTGATGGTGTTGAGAAACTGGTTCACTCGCACATTGATAGTGCAGATTTTAATGGTATAGCCACTCTGCTAAAGAGTGTGGCAATTTCTTAGAAAGCTAAACATGTATTTAACAAATGATTCAGCAAATGCATTCTGTCATTTATCCTAGAGATATGAAAATGTACATTCACACAAAAACCTGTACATGAATATTCAAAGCATCTTTATCTTAATAGTCAAAAACTAGAAATAACCCAAATGTTCTTCAATGGATTAATGGTTAAATAAACTGTGGTCCATACTTCCTATGAGACACTACTCAGCAATAAAAAGAGAACTATTGATACATCCTTTCATGGATTTCAATGGAATTATGCTGAGTGAAAAAGACCACTTTCAAAAGGTTATATGCTGTATGGTTTCATTTATATAACAGTTTTGAAATGGCAAAATGATAGAAATGGAAAACATGAGCTGTTTCCAGGGGTTAGGGAGGGGAGTTGGGAGGGATGGTGCACTGTGGTTATAAAGGGTAGCACCAACAAGCCTAGTGATGGAACTCTTCTGTGTCCTGACTGTTGTGGTGGTCAGACCAATCTACACATATGATAAAATTGTATGTATGAAAATTACATACACACATCGACACAAATGAGGGCATGTAAAACTAGTAAAATCTGAAATAGATCATTGGATTTAATCAGTGTTAATTTCCTGGTTGTGATGTTATGCTATAGTTATGCAAGATATTATCATTGAGTGAAACTAGCTGAAGGATTTTTGGGATCTTGCTGTATTATTCCTTGAAACTGCATGTGAATCTACAGTTATCTAAAAGTACAAACTTAAAAAAAAGTGGTTATTCACTGCTATTATGAATATACTACTGTAGTCTGTACTTAGCATTGCTATAGACATCAATCTGAAGAATGATATCGAGTAACTCATTGGATCAAGTCAGAAAATTCTGGGGGACAAAAAAAGAAAAGAAAGAAAGAAAGAAAAAGAGAGAAAGAAAGAAAGAAAGAAAGAAAGAAAGAAAGAAAGAAAGTAAGTAAGTGTTGGAGACTCTCCTGAAAGGAGTGATTTAATGAATCCTGAAGGGGATGCTGAGAGGCTGGAGTGTCTGGTCTAACTGGAGAACATGATCAAGTCCTAGCACTCATGTCATAGATCCAGGTTGGGTAGAAGGACACTGAAAGAAGCTCGACTATAGGCTGTATTTTCTGGAAGCAGATGATGAGATGGAAGTTAGGGTGTTTATTGGGGATTAGCATGGATAAAAGAAAGGTGATCATAATAGATCTCTGAAGGGAGCTCTACCCAATGGCTCAGGCATTAGATGTAGATCACTTTCATTGAGCAGAACCTCAGGTGAAGAGGCTATCTGCCACTGAGGCAGATCCTGAAAGAGCTGAGTGTTGGAGAATGTCTCCTTGCTGCACTTCCCAAAGCTGGGCAACAAACCCTGCCTGGAATGGGGATGCAGGTAGTGTATTTTTATGTCTATCACAGTTGACATACATAGATCCAGGTCAGTGATGGACTCAAACAAATAGTAAAAATAAATAAATACAATGGAATTTGGAGAAAGAGACTGGGAACAAACATGCAGTTCTTCTTAACAACATGAGAGGATGTAACTTCATCTAAGAATAAAAGTGACATTGGAAGGCTTTGGCTTCTTTCTGTAAATTGATGAAGATATGTAATGAATGTGGCATAGGCTTCGGTCTTTGAGCGCTCACTTTTTTTTGTTTTTTTAATATCCCATTCTAGATAGTGTTTGCAATTGTTGGATTACTAAGAAATACTAGTTGAAATCATGCAAGGGATTTTATTATTATAATGGTTATTTTGGCTTTGCAGAAAAAAATGTTTCCACCCACCCACTTCCTGGTCTACGGGACAACCTGCTACCTATCAGTCAGTTGCAGAAAATGTTGACAAAGTCTCACTCACTGAACTGATTTCACCCTCCATTTGAGCAACGGGATATTTTACAGATATGAGAGGCTGCTGTTTATCCTCCATTTAGGACTCCCTCAGTGTGTTCATAGAGATGGTTAGAACTGGCAGGTACCAGAGGAAAAACTCTTCAAAGGAGCCTGTTAGCATTTTCTTATTCCTGTTGAATGGAACCTGCAAAAGCTATTGTTACATTTCTTATGGAGTTCCCCAACGCCTCTTAGAAATGAGCCATATTTAGTTTAAAACAAATTTCCTGAAGTAAACAGTATATTTCCCTGATTTTCATCTCTCTTGGTGAGCTTCCAAAAAACTTGGAAGTGAATTAGTGTGCAATTTGCATCCAAATCTTAGCCAAGGGGATGTGGTTTATTATAATACATGGTCCTCCTAATTATTGAACAGCCCAAGAAAACTCGGCCCAGTGTGCATCTGTTCTTGCTTGACCACACTGCCAAACATAATTTGGCAAGCACAGAAATGTACATTGAGCAGACCTACAGTCTAATTTGCATTAGAGTTTGTGGTAATTATATGAAAGCTATAACTGAATGAGCTTGTCCTCTCTTTTTTAGATCACTTCATTTCTAAAAAATAAACAAGAAGCAAACCCCTCAAAGAATTTCCTTTTATATGTGTCTTTGAGGTTTCTCAATGTGATTTAATCATTGCCCAAGTGTTAGTTCTGCTTATACATGAAGAAAAAACATCTTTCCCGCATATTTCATGCAGACTTTCTTCTATTAGCCTTGATGTCTATGGGTCGACTGTGCATGTTTCAATATATATTTGATATCATTGCTCAAGAGAATGAATTAGGCTACTGCCGACCAGATGTCTGCATTATTTGGCAATGTGCATCCAAGAATCAACAAATAGGTTCATCGTCAAATTGTTTTAAGGAGTAATAAGTAGTCATTGAAAGAGCTGTAAATTAAAAATCGCAAAGTTCTCACTGAGATATTATCTTTGTTGGACAACCTTAAATAGACCACTAATCCCTCTGATTCTCAGCTTTTTTATCTATAAAATGGGGATATTGATGCCTCCTTTGTGTACCTTATATAGTTTATGGGGGTCTCAACTGGAAGAAAAAAAATATTTAAAAGTATTTTGGTGTTGGGGCACGTGGGTGGCTCAGTTGTTTGACGGACTCCTGATTTTGGCTCAACTCATGATCTCACAGTGGTGAGATCAAGCCTTATGTCAGGCTCTGCCCTGGGTGTGAAGCCTGCTTAGGATTCTCTCTCTCTCCCTCTCCCTCTGCTCTATTCAGGTGCACGTGTGTGCTCTCTCACTCTCTAAAAAAAAAAGTGTTTTGGTGTCAAAAGTATAAATGATAAAGTTTTTTAAAATGATATTATTATTAGCTACATATCAATACATACACCCAGTCTGTAGCAAATAATGTGGCCTACTGCACAAACTACGTTCAGAGACCATCAGGGAAGCTGAAGCTTTAGCTGGTGGGGGTTCTGGCAGTTGGGGTGATCATGGCTCAAGTGCTCTAGAGTTGTACTGTCCAATATGGCGGCCACTAGCCACACGTATCGATTGAGCACTTGAAATGTAGCTAGCTTGAAATAAGATATGCTGTAAGTACAACATACACACAAGATAACAGACTGAGTATAATAAAAAGAGTAAAAAACCTTATTAATATTTTTCCAATGATTGCAGTACATGGAGTGAAGTACATGTATTTTCAAATTGTCTCTGTTGCTTTGACTTTTTGAATATGGCTCCTAGAGAGAAGGAAGAGGGAGAGGGAAACCAAGAAACAGACTTTAACTATAGAGAACAAATTGGTTGTTACCAGAGGAGAGGTGGCTGGGGGAGAGGTGCGGGGACAGGTTAAATAGGTGATGGGGATTAAGGAGTGCACTTGTGATGAGCGCCAGGTGTTGTATGGAAGTGTTACATCTCTATATCGTACAGCTGAAACTAATGTTACACAGTATGTTAACTAGCTGGAATTTAAATAAAACCTTTAAAAAGTAAAAACATGGGGGGGAAATAAAGAAATTTAGCTTCTAGAAAACTGGAAATTACATAAATGACTTACATTATATTTCTCTTAGACAGTGCTACTCTAGGGCACGGATCTATGGAATATGTGAATTCTATCCAGGGCTAAAGCCAGAACCAGGAAATAAACAGGCAATTGAAGCACAAAGCAGGTGCAAAGCAACAGGATAGTGACCGGGGACCCCAAGCCAGAATTAGTGGATTCGGAAGGGTGAGTAGTAAACGGAGCTTAGAGGTATTTTTTGGAACATGTATTAGAATTGCACTTAC